GAGCCACTTAAATTGCCCTTCAGAAACTCCCAGTAATGACTGAGTCATCGTTGCTGACTAGAAACAGATGGAGAGACAGGTAGACCCATGTGTACATGCATATATACACCCTTTTAGGCAACTCCCAAAGCTTTCCTCCTTCCCCAATTCAAGAAAGATGAGGAGCTACTGGAGAGAGTCCAGCGAAGGGCTATGAGGGTTGATGAGGGGACTGGAGCATCTGTCCTACAAGGAAAGGCTGAGGGAGCTGGGCTTGTTTAGCCTGGAGAAGAGAAGGCTGAGAGGGGATCTTATAAATGCTTACGAATATCTTAAGGGTGGGTGTCAGGAGGATGGGGTCAAGCTCTTTTCAGTGGTGCCCAGTGACAGGACAAGGGGCAATGGGCACAAACTGAAACATAGGAAGTTCCACCTGAACACGAGTAAGAACTTCTTCCCTCTGAGGGTGACAGAGCACTGGAACAGGCTGCCCAGGGAGGTTGTGGAATCTCCTTCTCTGGAGATATTCAAGACCCGCCTGGACATGGTCCTGTGCAGCCTGCTGTAGGTGACCCTGCTTCAGCAGGGGGGTTGGACTAGATGACCCACAGAGGTCCCTTCCAACCAAACATTCTGTGATTCTGTGATCTTCAGCAACTCTATAAACAGGAGGATGCCAACAGCACGACCCCTTCTTTATTACCTGGGTGTCCTATCCACGTTCTTCTTCCTTGTGTAAATCCTGCTCTAATTTCCGTGTGTTTATTACCACTGTCTGATATTTGTATAATGTTCATAACGTTTATAGAGTAAATAAAGATATACATCACTAACAACTTAGCGATAATCCTTAACTGCTCTTTTTAATCGAGTCAACAATTCAGTTCTCTGCTTTTCTTCTTAAATCTTTTTTCCTAGCCCTTGTTGTGACTTGTGACTGAGTCTGAATGCCCATAATTTAGAAGACTCTTCAAATTAAATAAGCTGAGTTTTCTTTACGAGTTTGGTAAAATGATACTTTTGGCCTCTATAGGGTTTGCCACAGTTGGGAATAGGAACTATCCCACTGCGAAGTATCAAAAACGTCGTGAAATATTTTAGCAGTTGCAACACAATTGATTCAATGTTGATTATTTCATTACAGCCTCATTAAGTACTCCATTTACCACTTTTTTAATTATAATTTTTCAGTACTAAAATGCTCTGAAATTTGTTACATGAATTTCGTGTCAAAAAAAGATTTTGAGGAAGCTGAAATATTCCTAAGTTTTCAAAACAACATTTTTAATATCACATTAAAAGTCTGTCCAAGGTGCATAATGTTAGTCAGATTTGCTTCAAAGCAAAGCTTTCATTTTGAAATTTCCTTCACTAATATTTTTGTAAATACATATTGTAAAATTTGATTTTAAAGAAAAAGGAAATTGGATTGCTCCCAAGCAATATTTTTAACCCTTCAGAATTGCTTGTGAATGGTTCCTTTTCACATTGTTGGTAATTGCTTATTTTTTTATATTTCAGAACTGGATTGCTTTTCTGCATACTTGGGCGAGAGTGAAACATTTCTGTAGCAGCTGAAAAGCTTAGCTACAGTTTTAGACTTGGTTTATGAAACACTGTAGTTTTGAACTTGTTTGCACTTCCAGATGGAATTAATTTAAAGGCATGTCTCCGTGTCTGCTTACAGATCTGAAGAGCTGTGGAAGCTCTGCTAAAGTGTAGAAGGTGGTACCTGATCTTTTTCTTAGAAGGAGTACTGTAAACACTGTAAAAGTGTGCTGTAATACTGTCTTTTGTCAAAAGGATAATATTCTAGGTCATACAGTATTTCAGTTAATACTTATGGGCTTTGGTAAGCCCAGGTCTAGCAACGACCTTCATTCCCTAGGTCAGTTCTAGGGGGACCGGTTGCCGTTACTGTCAGACTTGGGGCAAAGCCGCTGCCAAGTTCAGGTCAGTTCCAATTCCAGAGCTGGGTCAGGTATTTAGGTACAAATGTGCATTTTCTTATGCTTGGAAGATAAAGTCAAGCATAAAAATAGGTGATGGAGTTTTAACTAAAGTAACAATAATTCAATAAGAGAGTAGTAGTAAAAAGCATTTGGTTTTACCATTCCATTACAAAATATTCATTTTGTCATTAAATGGCATTATTTTTGTCATCATTAAATGTATCTTTGCAAAACATTTGCGGAGTTTTATACTTGTAAGTACATGTCTACTAATAATAATTGGCTTTAGTTGATGCAATGGAGGATCGTGTTAAATGTCCAATAACTTTCTGGAATATAAGCAAAGTAAGAAAGTGTTGGAATAGACTGCTGGGGGTGTTGTGGAATCTCTCTTGCCTGAAGTTTGTAAAAACATTCTGGACAAATGTCTGTCAGAAGCCAGTTTCTTCTGCTTTTGAAGAGAAGGACAGGGTAGCTCACTTGCCGAGGTGTCTTAGTTTTGTTCTGCAATTTGTGCAATGATTTTTTAACAAGAAATACTTCTATTTTAGCTCTTTTTTTTAATGAAGTGAGTTCAAATTAGATCGCTAATCAGTGGTAGCAATTATGCCTATGTGTGTATCTAGTGAACATCGATTTGTGAGGTTTTTTTGTGAGTCATCCAAATAGTATGACAAAGAAGGTGCATCTGTTACTCTTAGAATAAGTATCTGACTTCTGTTAAGATGATCTCTGGGTAGTTTCTAAAATGAAATCAAAGTGAGAGGCAAATAGAAATTTGTACAGAAAATATTTTTTGAAAGAAGTCTGTGGCTCAAATCTTGCAGTACTTATTTCAAATTTACACTATGATGTAAGTAATACTCAATTTTTATAGGAGCAAAGGTTTGTGACTGATTTATTTTGTGTCTAGAGAGTCAAATAAAAGCAAATTCTTATGAATCTGTAACTTTCTGTGGAACAGCGCTTGGAGAATGAGAAAGTACCGCTTCATGAAATGCTAGGCACTTCTATGAAAAGAAATTTTAAACAACAGATTTAAAAAATCAGGACTTAAAAGCTCATTACTTTCAGATCTAAGAGAGAAGACTTTTCCACCCACTTCTCCATCTCTGGGCTGTCGTTGCTCTTGGAAGTGTGGGGAGTAAGGGGGTTGAATTCCTCCCCCATCATCCTGGGACCGGGGGGAAGAGCCCACTGCCCGACTGATCCGGGAGGTGAGGGGGCTGTGGGCACTCGCTAGCCCAGTGCATGGGGTGCCAGTATGGATCCGGAGCGGAACAGCTGAGAAAGGCTGGGTTTCTGGAGCCTGCTGGTCAACCAGCGCTGCTGACAAGTCAGCTTCTTGACTGCAGGTCCCCACTGTGGTCTCAGCCCCTGTCCGGGTTCTCCTCAGTCGCTGGGGGAAGGGGACGTGGGACATAACCCTGGCCATCGCTGCCTTGAAATGAAACGCAAAGTGGGTTAAAACCCACTTTGTGTCTTTTTGAAGGAGTCAACATTTGCAGTTTAAGAAGTGTCAAAATATTTTCTTTTTTTTTCCTATCTGCTTGTCAGAACTGCTTTTTTGTTAGCAATATGCGTTGTATATGGTTTGCGTTAATTTAAATGGGGTGTTGTTTCATACGGCGCTTGGCTTGAAGTGTGCTGCTTCTATTTCTGCACTGCAAGGACTTGTGAGTCCAAAACGAATTTTGTCTCTTGGTAGACGGAGTGCTATACAAGTTTTTTCTGACAAGCAGCCTCCAATAGCTAATAAATCACAGTTATGATCCTCGTCTGAAAAGATAAAGAACAGTTTTTATTTTATAAATGTGTAATGATATCCTGAACAAAAATACATTATTCAAGAAATATCAAGAATATTTTAAGGTAAGTTAATGACGATATGTTCAAATATTGTAATACTCAAACTATTATCTGTATACAAGACTGAAGCAAATATGTTGCTAGGTGCTGCACCATTTTTGTGATTCCTCTTGAGAATGAGTTAGCTAAAATGAAGGTGTTCTGCCAGCTTTATTTAAAGATCCATGCTTAAAAATGGCTAATTTTATAGAATGTATTTTCTGTTTATGTGCCTGTCAGTTTTAAACAGCCTTTTATATGCAAATGCATGGTGACAGTTCTATATTCTGTGTCATTTCTTCACAAGAGTTTTTCATGCTATTGGAATAATCCCTTAACAGATATTTATAGAGTTTTTACTGTTATTTTGACAAATCAGACATTGTTATTAAAATGATAAAAGAAAGTAATTTTAATACTTTTTGCATTGAAAGTTCTAAACTTTTTATAAATGATGTATGTTTCCTACCGCTATTTTAGTAAACGTTTTACATAAATTGGGTTTTTTAGTTCCATTTTTTGCAATAAGAAAAATCTGTACTTGGAACTTGTTTCTAAACAAGTGTATCATGAAAGATCCATGTTTCTTGCTCCTTCAGTCCTTTTGTTGTATTTGCCTATACCAAATTTTTTGTTCTGATAAGTTAATTCATTAATATCGTATGCTCTACCAGAACTAAATTTGGCTCCTGTTGGAGATAGATCATTTTCCCATAATTTTGAGTATAAACAAACTCAGGCTTAGTGTCTATGATTTTTGTAGTTTTGGCCTTGCTGTGGCCGATGTGCTCACAAGATGATGAACTGGGAGGGTTTCAACTGTATTGTCCATTGCAGGGTATGCCTCAGAAGTGGCCGAAGAGAGCATTCTGTGATTTCTAAAGAAAACTGTAAATTTGCCTCATCTCTAGATAGTGCTTCGTAATTTGATACTAAGCCTAGGCATTAATTCAGACTAAAAACAATGATTGAGAAAACATAATCAGTATTTCCATAGTCTTGAACAAAAAAAGTCATTGGCAGGTGACAGTAGAAAGACAGTGAAAGGACAGAGACACTCACCTGTGTCTAATGAAGGAGGTGACATTTCAGTAAATGGAAGGTACTTAAATATATGCTGTGTGTTGGCAGTCTCCCAAGACTGCTGATGGAAGTGTGTTTGGGGAAAGGAGCACCGTATTGAAGAAACTGCTGCTTCGAGCTGTGGCGTGCGAGCGGGAGCGGGGACTGGCTACAAGCGTGGTGGGAGTCACCAGGCTAGCAGAATCTTTCGAAGGATACCAGCTGCTGAAGCCATGAATGGCTTTCAGATCGGTTCTTGGCAGGCATTGTGAAACTATATTTACCCTAGTTTATTTGCAAGATGTATGTATTCTTTTCAGGATGTCTCTGTGTTAATGGAATTACTGGTGTGAATCTTCTGTTGTCTGAGTGAGACATGGTACACAGGACAGTTTTTCTGCCACTACCACCCAGGACCCTGTGGCATTTCAAAAGAACTATTGAAAAGTCCAGATTCATCTTGCCTAAGCTAAGGCATTTAACTTTAGATACCCCTGTTAGAAGCAGAATCAGTCTAACCTGTGTCGGTAGTAGAAAAAGAGAGACAGAAGTGGACAATTCTGGTTTTACGTGATCTGGATTAGCCCATGGATTTGCACATTGTCTTGTGTTGCCTATGGGAAATGCCCAGGGCAAGTCGACATACCAGTAAGATGCTTAAAGTGATGCGGTATGAACCTGGCCAAAGAGTCAACGGTTCGTGCTAAGATACTATGAAATTATAAAAGTTAATATTCTAACAATATCCTTGTCAAGCTTAGATGCCTAATAGATTGCTCCATGGTGTGATGCTTGTGTATATTCATCCGAGGTGGGAGTTAGTATGGGACGAAGAAAGGGAGCTTTAGCTGTGACAAACTCCCGTGTTACAGTTTATGTTTCCCATTAGATCTCATTTTACTTCTTCAGTTCTTCTGCTTTCCATAAGCATTTTTCTCTATTAGATGACACTTACAACAGTTCCTTATTAAAGTTAACCAAAGGATCGAGTTGTTGTTCTGTTACTCACTTTCTATATTATTTATTTTGTAAAAGACAAAAAAGTACTTAAGCTAATAACCATGTCATCTCTTATAAACCTGCTACATGATTCTATGTAGTATCAGAACAGTGGCAGAAAATTCAGTATGTACACCAGGACAGATCTGACTACAGTCCTCAAACACTGCATTTGTTAAACAATGTCAGAGTTTAACCCAGCAGCCAGGAACCAAGCACTAGACAGCCGCTCGCTCACCCCTCCCTTTCCCCCCAGCAGCGTGCGGAGGAGAAATGGACAAAAGGGGAAACTCATGGGTTGAGATAAAGACAGTTTAATAAGGCAAAAAAGGAAACACTAATGCTAATATTGATAATAATAATGATCATAATGCATGTGCAAAATAAACTATATACAATACAGTTTTTCTCATCACCCGATGACTGATTTGCAGCCAGTTCCCGAGCAGTGATCGCGGAACCCAAAATCATGAATTTCACAAAATTACTGAAAAAGTTCAAACTCCTGGACAAGAGAGGATTGGAACTCATGGAAACGAGAAGAGTCGATAGCTTCCTGCCCCCCAGCCAACCCCCTTTCATAAACTGAGCATGATTTCTATGGTATGGAGTATATCTGTTGGCCAGCTTGGCTAGCTGTCTGGCTGTGCTCCCTCCTACCTCCTGCACACCTGCTCATTAGCTGAATATGAGAAACTGGAAGAAGTCCTTGATTTCATAGCAACTACTGAAAACATCAGTGTTATCAACATTCTTCTCCTACTAAATGCAAAGCACAGCAGCTACTGGGAGGAACATCAACCCCATCCCAGCCAAAACCAGGACACACAGTTAGGCGTTTGTATGAACAAACAGCAAGACTGATAGCAAAACAAAATCAGGCATACAGAAATGTCTACTCTGTATGTGAAAGTGGCTGTATTTTATATAGAACAGGAAAATTTGAAATCCTCCCATTCGTATGACACATCACAAGAACGTGAAATGCTGCTGTGGTTTCTAGTTGGCTAGAACATGAAAATAAAACAAAAGTTAGGTGCATGTGCAGTTGTAAATGTGTATGCCTATGCAAAGCAAGTATTTTTGCAAGAAAGTTTGTAGGAGATGATTATGCACATCCTGATACTTGTATATGCAGACATCAGAGCTGAGATTCTTGAAAATTTTGAAAATTTTCAGCCTGAGGAGTTAATACTAGGATGACTTCAGGATGCTTTTATGCCTTCCTGAACCCAGTTAGAGTAGTCCGCATGGGGCCTTGCAAAGAGCCTTTGGGTGTACTCCCTCCCTTAGTGGGAGTCAGTATTTTAAAACGTGCGTTACAGGTTTGAGAACATAGTTAGGACATTGTGGCTTTAATGCTATTAAAACTTGTTGCTAGAATCTAGACTGTTGTATGGCTGCTGTTTATCAAATAAAAACTAAGAATTATATTGTTATCTAATCTATTAATCTCCATTTGACCATCCTTGTAGCTCATGTTTATATGGGAATATACTTCCCCTTTTTTCTCCAAATCCATTGAGAGCATTTTTGTAAAATGCATCCATATAATTTAAAAAAACCAAACCCTACACCAAATGTTGTACTTTGTGTCAGTTATTTTCCTTTAAAAAAATCCTGTATGTGCTTTTTGACTGGGACTGTTTCTTACAAAAGAAGTGTGAAGCCTACGTATTAATTCACTAAAGATCCATTAATCCATTTTTCTCATGTCCAAGAAACACCACCTTTCCGCTGTACACCTGAGAGACACATAAAAATAAAAGCACTGACAAATTATTCTAAACTTCACAGCGCTGTTTTTCAAACTTTAACCAATGAAGGGCTCTTTCAAAACTGCTGTAGAAAGCTCAGGTTTACATGAACAGGCACACAGAAGCTGACTGACCTGGCAAGTGTTTTGTTGCCCTGGTTCTGGCCTCCCTTAACAAGGTTGGTCAGTGGTTTCTTGCACCGGTTTGATCTGTGGCTGTTGCCAAAGCTGGACGAGGACTGCTAATCATAATGGTACGAAATGAGTCAGTGACTGCATCATCTCCTTATTCTCTTCACAGCCAGCTTCCTCCACTCCCAATGTGTCTCACAGTACATACAATTAATTTTCTAGCAATGAAGAGCTAGAAAGCAGTTAGCTTCATCTGCTCTTTGGGCTCCAAGCAGCAGACGGTTAGACTGCAGCTTTGCTTTTCATGACTGGTGGTATGGCTCTTTTTGTCACAAACTGTGCAAAATAGCCTAAAAGTCAGTGTGGTGGACAGATAAGGGATTTGATTCAACCAGCAGATAGGAAAATAGGTAGATTGGACTAATCCCAACACTCCTCCTTGAAAGCCTGGGAAGTCTCCGCATGCCAGCTGCTCCATGGGCCAAATGATAGTCTTTATTGTTTAAATTTGACTGGGGTCCAGCCATTTTATCCAGAGGTAGAAGCAAATGACAATAGTTCATGCCCATGGATTCCTGATGAACGTGTGTAAAGCTATGCAACACTTGTCAGCGTTGGCAGGGTCAACAGGGAACTTTACTATTAAAGGCTAGTTTGGCTGAGATCAAAAAATCTCTCTTTTATCTCTATCTCAATAACATCCATAAGATATGCTACTGATACACTTGGATAGTCTATTTTCAGTCTTCTGCAACTGCAGCACATGCTTTTACTATGACTGCCAAGATTCAAAGGGGCAGGATTTGGAATGGAAATCTTAGATACATTGTATAGGTCCTGGTCAAGCTGGCAGTGATACCCAAATCCTTGTGATCTGGGTCTCTAACCTTTCTGTCTGAAACTGTCCCTAACTGGGGTTCTTCTGTGTTATGTGCAAGGATTACAAGGAAGAGTAGCTCTGTAACCCATATGCTGGACACAGTTTATGCCTAGAGTATATTTACGTGAGCTGGAGATAAAAATTGTGGTCTGCCACATGGGCCCATACAAAGTTATCTTTATTTTGCTGTTGGTGACAGCTGCATATCGTTGCTTGAGGAATGAAAAAAAAAAAAAATCTCAAGACTAGTAAAAATGTATTATTAAATATTCATTTTTAATCAATATTTTCTTAATACCTAATTCATCCCATGATTAGCCACAGAACATACAAGCAAGTTAACGTCAATATTTAGGCATATAGCAGTGTGGCCAGACTTTACATGGGCATAAAGAGCAGCTGGAGAAAGCCCTGGCTCCTCCTGGTGTCAATGAGCCAGTTGTTCTAAGTATCACACAAGTGAAAATTACTCTGTCTTTTCCACATCTTTAAGCCCAGTGAAAAGGTAAGGTCTCAGCAGTTCTCCAGAGGAAGCTGCATTCTGCAGCCTTATATATAACACTTATAAAAGGGCAGCTGCAATAATAACGTTGAGCCTGACTCTTACTGCCTTTATATCAATTTCCACTGAGATTGCACTGTTGACTTCAATGGCCTTTTAGTACCCTGTGTTTACATGGATGTAAACAAGAGAAGAATCTGCCCAGATTGTATCACACTATGTGCATGTAATCAGATTGTCAATATTCAGCTCCTCTATGTCCAGCAAAGTAGAGGTCGGAAGGGTTATTGTGTCTGTCCTTGTTCTGAGGAGTGCAGGGGACTAAGACACCAGGGTGCCACAGTGAACAGAAACCCATCAGCCTACACCGATTTGAAAGTCTGGTGCTTATACATCTGTGCTTAAATAGGACTCTGGCTTGGGAATGGCCTAGCTTTGGAAATCGTACTACATAGATGCTGATCAGGCATATTCAATCACAACCTCCGTAATCACAGAATAGACCCTGATTCATTATCCCATTTTTGGCACCAGTTGAAATGCTTCATTTTGGTCACCTGAGGTTCCCCGGCTAGTTGGTGAAGAGAGGAACACATTTAAAGTCAAGATTTCAAATATTCAAGATTTAGGTGAGCTGAATTATTTTGTGATTATGTCTCTGTGTTTACCATTTGAAGACTTTTCTCTGGGAAAGTGGAGTTGCCGCCATTTTGTATCTACAAGAATTGTTTTACATGCTTCTGCTTTTAGCTGGAAAAAGGCAACAGAAGAGTTGCTCTGATGAGCTAGGAAAGATATTTCTCTTGGATAGTCTTTACTTCCCCTCAAGACAGAAACTCTTAGAGGGGGTCAGAGCAGTTATCCACTTCTTGAAGACCTAGGAATACAGATGAGAACCTTCGGCCTGT